GCAGAAGGGCAGAGGAAAGCTCACCGCCTCTGTCGGAGTGCAGACGCAGGACAGGAAAGTCTGAGCCGAAACTCTCGCTGAGCTCGAGACAAGCTGCGCGGATCCAGTCGATCAACACCTCAGTGACCTCACCCTTGCGGCGCAAGGGGAAGACTACACTGTAACGTGAGTAGTCGTCAACCACCAGCAGGAAGTAACGCTCGTGACTCTGTCTACGGATGCGGGCAGGGCCCCACACGTCCATGTGAAGCGTCTGCAACGGGGCACTCGGAGGAGTTGTTGTCGCATAGATGTCCTTGATCTTGTCAAGGACCGGTTTCACATCATCTCCCGGTTTCATGGAGAGGGCAGCCAACTCCTTCTCCAACACAATCACCATCGGCAGCGTGTTGGGCTGAATCACGTCGCGTAGCAGCTTCCATGCCTTTGGTCCGGAATCATCCAACTCCACCAAATCTTTGATGTGCTGGAACATGTCGTTGTTGACCGATTGGAGGATGAGGTCGTACAGCACCGCGCTCTTCTCAATCCACCGATCGCGGGCATCTCCTTCCCCCGGCATCTTCTCCTCTCCCATTGCAATTTTCAGTAGCTTGTAGCGCTTGAAGGCGCTCCGCATCCGCCCGCTCCATTCCTCATAGTTGGAGCCATCCAAAGCTTCGATCTTGGATGGTGGCGGTTCACTCCTCTTCTCAGCTGCATCTCCACTCCCTTGACTCATCTCCTCTGCTCCCAATCAGAGGTTTCAGCTCCCCCTTTTGCTGGTCAAAATGTAGATCCACACAATCTTCACAAGTGTCGGCGCCAACGAAATTTCGGCAGAGTTCCCCTTAGCGGAAGTCACATCCAACCTCCAGAATCCCACTTAGGCAAGCCCACAGGTCATGGTGGGTCTATGAGGGTCTTCACACTTCAGTAGACTCTCCACAAAGTCCTTAATCAGCTCTGATACCACTTGTTAGAGACTGAGGACGGAGTCTATGAAGATTAGTAGCCAAAATATCTCAACATCGCTGGGCCTAGTTTCTGAACAGAAAAGTCGAGTTCACAAGAAACGCCGTCGACGAAACGTTCACAGTCAGAACTTCATTAAACTCGAATATGTTGTAGCTCTACTCCGTGGCTACAATTCCCAAGTTGAATCATGCGAAAAGGTGAAGTATTTCTTGAGCTATCAATTTCGGCGCACTAGGGGGTATGCTGCCATAGAATCTTAACTCAATCACAAAGTTCACACAAGTTCACACAAGAGAATTGGAGTAGCACTAAACTAGGTGGAAGGGATGAGGAGGACGAGAGGGAAGGTCCCAAGAGAGTCCCCAATCAAGGAAACCCCATGCCATACAATTCCCTTCCCCATAGGCAACCCAACTTTGACCTTTGTCACTATCCCAACCTCCACAATCCACCTCAACCCACCTCAACCCAACTTGGCCACACTTGCCAGCCTGGTTTGGTTTCTCCCAAACATTTGGCAGCAACTACAGTAGAAAAGACGAATTTCCCAACCCTCAAAAGTCTGTACCCCATATTGAGTCAGCCCCACAACTTCCCATAGTCACCACAACCAAATATCAAAAGCATACGAACTCCAACGTTCGTAACTTTCTTGTTCGTGCTCTGATTGAAGCGATACTTGGTTCCTCGGAAAGCTCTTGAGCAGAGGAGTCACTTCAGATATCTGCTCAAGCCAAATAACATTCACACACATACTCAGAAAAACCAAACCGCACAAAACACAAATTCTTGCACACACTCACAACACGCATGCAACGCACGAACATATGATGGGAGGCAGACAGACGTGAATGCGAATGGTAGCATCACTCAACAGGAGTGAGGAGCACCGCGCTGCCGCCCCTCGACGCAGGGAACGCAGGTGGGGCCAGGCCCCGGAGGAAGAGAAGGGAGGGACCGGGGGAGACCCGAGACAAGGAAACAAGAGGCCATGCCTCGGAGACGAGGCAGGGAGGGGTGACCAAGGCGGTGGTGCCAGAGGAGAGTCTGGTGAGACAGGAGACGACACGAGCAGGGGGCAGACTCAGGACCATACCTGGACACTTCAGCAAACACCTGACTCGACGAAGCTACCTGAGGAGACTCAGTAGTCAGTGTGTACAGGCTCGACCACGGGTGACGTGTAAACGTGGCCAAGGGTCGGCCCGTCCGAGCACACGTACATTGGGTCACTCGCTGACGCGCATGAGTGAACTGGTCAACCCCTGCGTCCTGTAGGTCAGCACCACTCACCAAGTTCGTAGAGAACAAGGGGAGGTAAAGACCTGGCAGGGAGCCAGAAGGGGCCACTGGACACGGTAAGACAGTGGAGAAGTGGGCAAGGACGGGACCCCCAGAGGGGTCTGCCAGGGAGACTGCAACCGGCCGACTAAGCGGCGTGAGTGTGGTGCGGTCTCGAAAGAAGGAGCGGAAAGCACCCGAGTCAAGGGTGAAGGTGTGTAACACTTGAGACGACGTGGTACCTGAGAGAGCAGACTCACCAGCACCTGGGGCAGCAGACTCACCAGTACCTGGGGCAGCAGACTCACCAGCACCGGGAGGAGCAGACTCACCAGCACCTAGAGGTGCAGACGCACTAGCACCTAGAGCAGCAGCCTCACCAGCACCTAGAGCAGCAGCCTCAATGCCCGGGTCAGGCGGAACACATAGGTAACAGTCACCCACATCACTAGTAGGCAATGCATACATGGCAGTGAGGATAGCATCATAGTCAAGAGCATAGATATCTACCCTCTGCCTAAGCAGATCCACCCAGTTGGGGAGCTCATCGGCGTCGCCAAACTCCGTATGCCAGACGTCTCTCAGACGGGCGAAGCAGCAGGACTCGGCGTGACCAAGCGTCCCGCAGGGCTTACCAGTCCAAGCACCAGTGCGAATGACGTACTGAGAGCGAGCAGTACTCGGTGACCCTCCACGCTGAGCGTACCATTCACGAAGCTGCTGGGGCGAAAGGACCGTGCACGGACTACGCTGCAGCTGCACCTGGCCACTACAAGTAGCCCCCAAACTCCTCACGCCAGAACGACTCCCACTACCGCCACCCCGACAACCCCAACTAGCGTACCACTCACGAAGCTGTTGGGGGGCGAAACACTCACGCGGACGGTGCTCGAGCTGCACCTGGTCACGCCAGGAGCAGCAGTAGCAGTAGAAAAAGCAGTAGCAGCAAGAGCAGCAGTAACAGCAGTACGGGCAGTGCAGTGCTCACCAGTGGCGAGAAGGGCAGGCGTACGATGGCGGCAACGGCGAGGCCGCTACCACTACAGGGCGAGGGCTCCGCGGCTGCTGCAGGGGCGGCTGCTCCAGGGGCGGCTGGTGGAGGGGCGGCTGCTCCAGGGGCGGTTGCTGCAGTGGCGGTTGCTCCAGGGGCGGTTGCTGCAGTGGCGGTTGCTCCAGGGGCGGTTGCTACAGTGGTGGCTGCTCCAGGGGCGGCTGCTGCAGTGGTGGCTGCTCCAGGGGCGGCTGCTGCAGGGGCGGCCGTGCCAGGGGCGGCTGCTGCAGTGGCGGCTGCTCCAGGGGCGGCTGCTGCTGTGGCGGCTGCTCCAGGGGCGGCTGCTGCAGGGGCGGCTGCTCCAGGGGCGGGTGCTGCAGTGGCGGCTGCTCCAGGGGCGGCTGCTGCAGTGGCGGCTGCTCCAGGGGCAGCTGCTGTAGTGGCGGCTGCTCCAGGGGCGGCTGCTGCAGTGGCGGCTGCTCCAAGGGCGGCTGCTGAAGTGGCGGCTGCTCCAGGGGGCGGCTGTTGCAGGGCGCAGGTTAGGGCAGGGCGCCGCGGCGGGCAGGGGGCGGCGCGGCTGCTGCAGGGGGCGGCTGCTGCAGGGCTGAAGTGGCGGCTGCTCCAGGGCGCGGGTTAGGGCAGGGCGCCGCGGCGGGCAGGGGCGACGCGGGAGCCGCAACGGGACCGCGAGGGAGCCGCGACGGGGCCAGGAGAGGGGCCACGGAGGGGCCGCAACGAGCCGCGACGAGCCACGAGGGGCCGCGAGGGGCCGCGACAGGGCCGCGAGGGGCCGGGAGAGGGGCCGCGAGGGGCCGCGAACGGCCGCGGAGGGGCTGCAAGAGGGGCCGCGAGGGGCCGCGAACGGCCGCGGAGGGGGCCGCGAGGGGCCGTGAGAGGGGCCACGAGGGGCCGTGAGAGGGGCCGCGAGGGAGCGGCTAAGGGGCCGCGAGGGGCCGTGAGAGGGGCCGCGAGGGGCCGTGAGAGGGGCCGCGAGGGAGCGACTAAGGGGCCGTGATAGAGGGGCCGCGAGGGGCCGTGATAGAGGGGCCGCGAGGGGCCGTGAGAGGGGCCGCGAGGGGCCGTGAGAGGGGCCGCGAGGGAGCGGCTAAGGGGCCACTAAGGGCAGGGGACGCGTGGCGCGACTCGGGCAGGGGTGAAGTGCGCTCCGGGCAGGAAAAAAAAATCCTTCGAATTTTCGGTGGGCCCTAGGAAACGTTCCCACTAGGGAACCTGCTCTATACCATGTGAAAGAACAAGGAATGAATGCACTAGGAAACAGGTGGGTACAAGTAGGAGAACCTAAAAGTGTTGTACCTCATATTGTCTACCCCACTACAGCCTACACAGACTATAGCATATAAGTTTGACAAGATCCACCTCTCCAGAAGCACCAGCCTGCTGCACCTTGACACTTACAGGCTAACGCCATTAATGGTGGAGAACGGGGTATTGGTAGGAGAAGCGGGAGCCCCACTCACACGGCTCAGGCTGTCAACATTGTGTGAGAAGGGGAGAGGCGCTTCTGTGAAAAAACTGAGAGCGGTAATGAGGGGGGCGGTGGAGCAGCCAAAGCAGCAAAAGAAGTGGGAGCAAGAGTACGGCAGGCCCATCGACTGGAAGGAAACTATACGGAAGCGTGAAACTTTGGTCACACCGCGCAGACCGTGTGAAATCATTCTACAGCTGCACAGCAAGAACCTTCCAGGTGGGGGAAAGGCCGCGGTTCATGAAGGAGAAAATCAGCTGCCCGCACTGCGAACAGGACGAAACCCTAGCGCACTACCTGCTGGACTGTGTCAGCATACAGCCTGTCATCGGCGCGCTCAAGGGGGCACTGTTGCAGTTGAATCCAAACAGAAAGGTGGGGAGTCTGGAAGACTTTCTGTTCGGAGAGGATGGCACTAAATCGGGCTTCCCGGAAAAACCGTTGATCGCTGTGGCATTTCACCAAATCTTGCTGGAGCGCTGTGAAGCAGCATTTTGCCAAGGCAAGTTTCAACCGCAGAGGGTGCTCCGGAAAATCGGTACGAACTTCATGAAACACGTCCGGATTTACAACACTCACAAGAAACAGGTGGCAAAGCATGACAGGAGAGGGGTAGAGCAGAGCTGGACCTATCTGGAGCAGGACGAGGCCACGATGATGGGTCTGATATTCGTAGATGAAGGCACCAAGTGCCTTGGTGAAAACATCAGCAGTGTTGGCCTCAGAGGCCACGTACGCAAGCCGCAACTGACCACGCTGCTGTAGCTCACGAGCAAGGAAGTAGCGGAGAGCAATGTGCTTCGTTCTGTGCTCTAGTCGCTGCTCTCGACACAAGGCCAGCATGGCCTTGTTGTCTACGTACAGAACTGGAGGAGAACGAGGCGGCTCTCCAAGGTCGGTCAGCAGGTAGGTGAGCCAGCGAAGCTCCTGTGCAGCCATGGCCCCAGCGTAGATCTCAGCCTCACAACTGGAGCCAAGAACAGAAGACGAGCGAGTAGCACGCCACGAGACAGTGCCGGAACCAAGGCTGAAGGTGTAACCCTGTGACGACCGCTGTGTAGCCTGGTCGTCAGCCCAAGAAGCGTTTGCGTGCCCAGTGAGGACCACTGGACTGCGCCCTCCAAGCACTAACCCCATGCCCGATGTGCTGCACAAGTAGCGCAACACCCTCTTCGCTGCAGCCATGTGCTCTGGTCGGTGTCTCCCAGGAGCAACATAGCGTGCGAGAATGCTAAGAGGGTATGCAAGGTCAGGTCGTGTGCAGGTCATCAGGTACATGAGGCAGCCAACAAGCTCTGGATACGGGCCACTCGACTCTACGGACTCATCCGAAGGCAGAGCTGAGAGTGAGTGGCGAGTAGGCAGAGGAGTGACCTGAGGCGAGGAGTACGTGAAGCCGAAGCGCTGAAGGACCTGCTGCACCATGTGTGACTAAGTTAGGGTAATGGTGCGGTGTGCTCTGTCCCGGGTGATTTGCAAGCCAAGGTAGCTGCGCAGTTCACCCAGGTCTGTGCACGTGTGTCTCTTCTGCAGCCCGGACTTCACGTAGGCGAGTCCAGCAGTGTCAGCAGTGGCAAAGACCAAGTCGTCGACGTACACGAGGATGTAGAAAGGCAGCAGAGAGGTGTCGGTGCGCAGAAACAGCGAAGGGTCGGCCGTAGAAGGAGCAAACCCAAGAGCCGCAAGAGTAGTCCTCAGTGTGTCGTGCCACTCACGAGGCGCCTGGCGGAGACCGTAAACTGGACGCCGGAGGCTCCAGTGAGTACCAGGAGGGAACGACCCAGTGAAGCCAGGTGGGCGACGAAGCCAGATCTCCTCGTGCAGGCTGCTCTGCAAGAAAGCTGTGCTGAAGTCAAGGGAGTGCAGCTCGTAGTCACGGTGAGCAGCAACGTGCAGTAGCACCCGAAGAGTGGTCATCTTCGGGGTGGGAGAGAAGGTCTGAAAGTAGTCAACTCCCTACCGCTGACTGAAGCCACGAGCCACGTACCGTGCCTTGAAGACGGGCGGAGAACCGGGCGGCCGCTTCACCCTGAAAATCCACATGCCACTGACGATGTTCGCCCCAGGAGGGGGGACAGCGTCAACGTAGGTGCCTGTGGACTTCCAGGACGCCATCTCTGCATCCATAGCAACCCTGAGGACGCAGGAGGAGAAGGCAAAGGGGCACTCAGAGGAGCAGTGGACGGACGCAGAGACATCTGGTGCGTGCCAGGGACAAGAGGAGGACGCTGACGCGAACCGCGACCACTAGTGCGAGCTGCACGAACAGGCGACGCAGGATGTGACGCAGGCTCACGACGCTCAGGAAGACCTCCAGTAGGACCATTCTAGGGAGAGGGATCAGGTAGTGGGGAGGCAGGCTATAACTGTAGCTGTGACGGGACAGGCTGTGGACGCTCCAAAGAAGGAGGAGGACCTGTAGAAGGTGGAAGACCAAGAACCTGCTGCAGAAGTGGAACGAAGTACGGTCGAGGCCGCGCGGCGACGCCAGACACAGCAGGGACAGCACCAGTACCCCTAGAAGGAGCACCCGCTCCAGCAGCACCTCCAGCAGCTCCAGAACCTCCAGCAGCACCAGTAGTACCCCCAGCAGGACCGCGGGCAGTAGGCTCAGTACCAACGCCCGCAGCAGCACCAGCTCCAGTCGAACCCGCAGGCTCAGCAGCTCCAGTTATCAGTACGAGCACCTCCGGGACCCGCGGCACCAGCACCCTCAGTAGTCAAAGAACCTCCAGCTCCAGCAGCATGCCTCCAGCGCCGTGCAAACCACTCGCGCATCTACGGGGGAGAAAGTGGCTCCCGTCGAGACGAAGCCCCCGGAGGACCTCCAGGCGTAGCACCTCCACGCTCAGCACCCTCAGTCGCAGCACCCCTAGGCTCAGAACCTCCAGGCTCAGTACCCCCAAGCGCAGCACCCCCAGGCTCAGCACCCCCATGCTCAGCACCCCCAGTCGCAGCACCCCCAGGCTCAGCACCCCCAGTCTCAGCACCCCCAGGCTCAGCACCCCCAGTCTCAGCACCCCCAGGCTCAGCACCCTTAGCAGCACCAGAGACACCAGTAACCTTGACAGGCTCGACTGCATCTACCTGGGACACACCTGAAGGGGCACGACCCTGAGGGGGGAGGGGGTCTACCGGGGGGGGGCCTAGGACAAGGAAGAGCGGGGGTCGGGGGAGGGACGGAGTGCGGTAGGGAAAGAGGCGGTAGTAGGGGACCAACTCGTCAAACGTGACGTCCTGGGAGGACAGAACACGGCGAGAGGTGGGGTGGTAGAACTGCCACCCAGGCGCGTCAGGGGGGAACCCCAGGAAGACGCAAGGAGCAGCACGAGGGGAGCTGTGCGGATCCTGTCGATCAGCACCTCAGTGATATCACCCTTGCTGCGCAAGGGGAAGACCGCGGTGTAACGCAGGTAGTCGTCAACAACGAGCAGGAAGTAGCGCTCGTGACCCTGTCCACGGACGCGGGCTGGGCCCCACACATCCATGTGAAGCGTCTGCAGCGGGGCCTCTGTCAGAGGAAACTGGGACGAGTGAGGGGCAGCCCGCTGGCGCCCCTTGACACAAGGGACACAGGCAGGGCCAGGGCCCTGAGGAAGGGGAGGGAGGGACCGGGGCAGACCAGACACAAGAAGACGGGAGGCCATGCCTCTGAGCGAAAGCAGAGAGTGACCAAGGCGGTGGTGCCAGAGGAGAGTCTCGTGAGACAGGAGACGACACGAACAGGGGGCAGACTCAGGACCAGACCTGGACGCTGCAGCAAACACCTGACCCGACGCAGCTACCCTACCAGACGCATCACGAGAGGCCCCTATAGCGACTATGCCCTTCTCGGCCGCTAGGAGGGACTTCTCGAGGAGGTCTACAGTGAGAGTGGTGGGACAGACTGAGAGGAAGTCGTCCCTGACTACGCGAAGGGAGTCAGGGAGACGAGTCACTATGTAGTAGAGGGTGATGTACATGGGGGGGGGGGGGGGGTTCTTGGCGCAGAAGTCAGTAGGAAGTGCAGCGCGGTAGCGAGTGTCACTAGTGCGGAGGTGCGTAATGAGGTCAGCGACTGTGGGAAAGGCAGCAAGGTTAGGGAAGAGGTACGGTAGCATGAGACGGCTCAGTGCAGCAGTGGCAAGGGAGGAGTAGCGCGCAAATACAGCGTCGTACAAGGTCTGAGCACTCTTGTACTGACTTAAGTGCGCACGCTCAAGGGTAGGGAGGTGGCGACGCACAGCAAGACGTGCAGCAGCGTCGCGCGTGGCCCACTGGGAGGGAACAGTGGCGTCAGCATCAGCAGCAGGGGCAGGGGCAGCGCCAGAGGTGAGGTCAAAGAGAGAGAGGCCGTCTGCCCTATCGCACTGTAAGAACAGCTGCAGGTCATCTACCCAGACCTCAAAGTCAATGGCTCTACCCTCAGCGTCAAAGGCAAGGACACTAGGAGTAGCCATGACCCTAGAGGACCAGCAGTTCAAACAGTAGGGTGGGGGGGCAGTGCAGTGACAAAGGGGCTGTGCTCACCAGACTGAGCAGGTCGGGCGGCTCGGAAGAAGGGCGGCTCGGACGCTCGGCGGCTCGGCTGCTCTGCGGCTCGGCTGCTGGGCTGCTCGGCGGCTCGGCTGCTCTGCGGCTCGGCTGCTGGGCTGCTCGGCGGCTCGGCTGCTGGGCTGCAGGGCGGCTCGGTGGGTGGGCGGCTCGGCGATGCAGCAGGTGACGGGGCCGAGAGCGAGGTGGCGAGGCCGCAGGTAGGGTGTTGGGGCCGCTGGTAACGCGGCGGGCCGCAGGTAAGGCGGCAGAGCCGCGGGGAGGGGCGGCACGTGACGCCGCAAAGGACGGTGACGGGCCGGGACAGGCGGCGCACGGGCGGCGAAGAGCCGAGACAGGCGGCGTGGGGCCGGGGCGGGCGGCGCATGGGCGGCGTGGGGCCGGGACGGGCGGTGCACGGGCGTCGACGGGCCGGGGCAGCGGCGCGGGGCCGGGACGAGCGGCGCACGGGCGGCGTGGGGCCGGGACTGGCGGCGCACGGGCGTCGACGGGCCGGGGCAGCGGCGCGGGGCCGGGACGGGCGGCCCACGGGCGGCTTGGGGCCGGGACGGGCGGCGCACGGGCGGCGTGGGGCCGGGACGGCGGCGTGGGGCCGGGACGGGTGGCGCACAGGCGGCGTGGGGCCGGGACGGGCGGCGCACGGCGGCGTGGGGCCGGGACGGGCGGCGCACGAGCGTCGACGGGCCGGGGCATCAGCGTGGGGCCGGGACGGGCGGCGTACGGGCGTCGACGGGCCGGGACGGGCGGCTAAAGGGGCCACTAGGGGCCAAGAGAGAGGGGAGCGCGACTCGAGCAGGGGCTGAGTGCGCTTCGGGCAGGAAAAAAAAAACGGTGGGCCCTAGGAACAGTTCCCACGAGGGAACCTGCTCAATACCATGAGAAAACTGAAACGAGAATGAATGAACTATGAATGAAGTGAGTACATATAGGAAACCCTAATTGGGTTGTACCCCCTATGGGATACCCCACTATAGCCTACACAAAAGCATAAGCTATAATGTTTTGACACAGGGCAGGGTGGTTTTCAATGTTGGCCAGGGGCACCCAGCTATCTTCAGTTGGCGTGCGGTCCTTCCAGCAAACGAGGAACTCAATCCTCATGATGCCTGTGGGGTGTCGAATCCAATGGCTCAGAATTTTCTCGGGCTCAATGATCGGCTGCAATGTAGGGCGAGTCAAGGATGGCGGGAGGTGACGAGGCAGTTCGCTCGTGGTTGGGATGTAAGGGCGAAGCAAGCTGATGTACCAGTCTGTCGACAACAGTAAGTTGGTGGTACATGGGTGATCATGTGCTGATTTGGAATGGTCTACAGTAGCGCGGTCGTAATTTCGGAACGACGGGCAGTCCTAAGTTCTGTGTGTCAAGCAGTATGTAATCTCCTGACTCGTACGTGACTGGGCAGTGGTGGCGGTCAGCGTTGCATTTAGTGATGACGTTGGCTTTCTTAATTGCTTCGGCGGCTCTGGTGCGGGCAGCTTGCGGAATCTCGGCGAATTGTTGTGCGCGTGGCGTTGGGTTGTCCGGACTCGGCGTCATGGGCACTGTTGGGTTTTGCCCTTACTTCAGATAAAACAGGGACTGCTGCGTCATCATTGACGTGGCGTTGTTCTATACAAACACGTTCAGCGGCAGCTGCTGAGAGAATCAATGAACAGGAATGAAATGACTAAGTCAGAGATGGGTACAAATACAACCCTAGAAAGCTGTACCCCATATGTGCTACCCCACTATAGCCTACAAACATGCATCAGCTATGATAATCTGACACACCCCCATAGGCAAAGTGGGGGAGAACAAGGGGTCACAAGACCAGTCAAGCAAAGCAAAGCAAAGCAAGCTCAGGGTGGATCACAAAGTCACCACACAGTCCGAGCACAAGAGCAGGGCCAGAGGCCAGTTCACATGCAGGAGTACAGACATATATATAAAACTAGACAAGCAAGAGCAGGTATATATATATGTCACAGTACAAGTGAAATCAAGAGGAGAGCAAGTGAGGCAAGACAGGCACAAGACCCAGCTGGGTGCAAAAGCGCTGATGGTCACAAGGCGCGAGTGCCTTGGTGAACACATCAGCAGTGTTGGCCTCAAAGGCCACGTACGCAAGTCGCAACTGACCACGCTGCTGCAGCTCACGAGCAAGGAAGTAGCGGAGAGCAATGTGCTTCGTTCTGTGCTCCAAGCGCTGCTCTCGACACAAGGCCAGCATGGCCTTGTTGTCTACGTACAGCACTGGAGGAGAACGAGGCACCTCTCCAAGGTCAGTCAGCAGGTAGGTGAGCCAGCGAAGCTCCTGTGCAGCCATGGCCCCGGCGTAGATCTCAGCCTCACAACTGGAGCCGAGAACCGAAGACGAGCGAATAGACCGCCACGAGACAGAGCC